TTATAAATAAATAAATATAAACACAATCAATCCGAAGAGGGACTCAGGAAGGCTAACAAGTCGGCACCCCATGGTGCCCACATCATAAAAACATAAATATACAATTTAACAGTAGTATAATAATAACAGTATAAAACAGTACAAAACAATATCAAACACTATAAAAACAATCAAGCAGTCAGTGGTTACCAAGAGGCAGTCAGTCAGTCAGTTCTATACAAGTCGTCATGTCAGCCAGACAGCCTAATCTACAAAAACCTGATCCCATAGCTAGGATTTTACTTGTTTCCAGAAGGTCAAGAGGGATGCAGCTGATCTAATTTCACTCAGGAGGGAGTTCCATAGCTGGGGAGCCACCACAGAAAAGGCCCTGTCACTTGTCCCTGCCAAACACGATTGCGACAGTGGGGGAACAATTAGCAGGGTCTCCTCAGATGATCTTAGGGTCCTAGGTGGATCGTAGCGGGAGATACGTTCGGACAAGTAAACTGGGCCAGAACCGTTCAGAGCTTTATAGGCCAAAGCCAGCACTTTGAATTGTGCTCGGAAGCTGATAGGCAGCCAGTGGAGCTGGCGTAACAAGGGCGTTGTGCGCTCCCTGTACCCAGCCCCGGTGAGAAACCTGGCTGCCGAGTGTTGGACTAGCTGAAGCTTCCGGGCAGTCTTCAGAGGCAGCCCCACATAGATTAATGCGTTGCAGTAATCTATTTGAGATGTAACCAGAGCGTGGACCACCATAGCCAAGTCAGACTTCCCAAGGAACGGGCGCAGCTGGAGCACAAGTTTTAACTGTGCAAAAGCTCCCCTGGCCACCGCCGAAACCTGGGGTTCCAAACTCAGCAATGAATCCAGGATCACTCCCAAGCTGCAAACGTGCGCCTTCAGGGGGAGTGTAACCCCGTCAAGCACAGGCTGTAACCCTATGCCCCATTTGGCCTTGCGACTGACCAGAAAGACCTCTATCTTGTCTGGATTAAGTTTCAATTTATTTGCTCTCATCCAGTCCGACACAGCTGCTAAACACCAGTTCAGGACTTGGACAGCCTTCTTAGTAACGGGGGGGGGGGGGGGGGGGGGGAGGAGTGCCAGAGCTGGACATCATCTGTGTATAGATGACACTGCACCCCGAAACTCCGGATGATCTCCCCCAGCAGCTTCATGTAGATATTAAACAACATAGGGGACAGTACTGAACCCTGCGGGACTCCACAGTACAATGGCTGTGGGGTCGGGCAGGTGTCCCTTAACAACACCTTCTGAGAACGACCCTCGAGGAAAGACCGGAGCCACTGTAAAACAGTACTTCCAAAGTCCATTCCTGCAAGGCATCCCAGAAGGATACCGTGGTCAACAAATGCAGTAAATAAATAAATAAATAAATATCAAAGGCTGCTGAGACGTCCAGCAGAACCAACAGGGACACACTCCCCCGTCTAGTTCCCAGCATAGATCATCCACTTAGGCGACCAAGGCTGTCTCAGTACCATGTCCCAGCCTAAAGCCAGACTGCGATGGATCTAGATAGTCCGTGTCTTCCAAGAATTCCTGGAGTTGCGAGGCCACCACACGTTCCAGGACTTTGCCCAAGAAGGGAAGCTTGGAAACAGGCCAAAAGTTGTCAAATTGAGTGGGGTCCAGTGATGGTTTTTTCAACAGTGGTTTTATTATAGCTTGTTTTAAGCTCACTGGAATCTTGCCTTCCCGAAGGGAGGCATTAACCACCACCTTCACCCATTTGGCCAATCCCTCTCTGGCCTCCTTCAGAAGCCAGGATGGGCAGGGGTCTAGGATGCATGTGGTTGCTCTCATTCCTCCAAGAATCTTGTCCACATCCTCGAACTGAACCAATTGAAACGAATCCATCAAAACTAGACAAGCAGATGTTCTTGTTACATCTTCAAAGACTGCCGTTAACATGGTGTCAAAGCCTGAGCAGATTGAAGCAACTTTGTCTGCAAAGAACTGAGCAAATGCTTCACAGCGGGCTGCCGAATCGCCAGGGGACCCGTCTTGCAAAGTGGGGTTCAACCACCCTCTGTAATTGTGATGTAGCGGCCTTGCACCGTTACTAATGTAAGCCGTCCTGAGTCCCCCTTCAGGGGTAGAGAATACCAGAAATAATAATAATAATAGTAACAATAATAATAATCAAAGCCTCTTTTAGAATTTAACATTAAAATACTCAAGCAGAAGCAGAAAACAACACAGAAAAATTATAGACCATTAAAAACACAAGAACCTAAATCCAACTACAGAAGACCTATTGAACCATTGCTGATTCATAAGCCTCCATTTACATAAATCCCATTGATTTAAGGAATCATACTCCAGTTTGAACTACCAACAGAATTTAGGACGCATTCATAAAGATAGCAATGCACAGCTGATAAACTTTATTGATAAAACCTTTCCTTTTAAAGAGAAGGGAAGGTTGATAAAACCTTCCCTTGATGAAATAAAGTTTATCAGCACTGTGTTCCTATGAAGTATTAACCATTATAATATTATAACATTGCATTTTCCCCAGTCCTTTTCTACTCAGGACTACCCCTGAAATTATATATCGCAAATGGCATATGGTAATCTTATTTCTATCCTGTGGAGAACTACCAGCTTGATACTATTCAGAAAGGCCATTGGTTATAACCTCCTCCAACTTCATTTGTCAAGAGGAAGTCCTAACCAAAATAATACCCTACACATTGCTAGACAGAAGATGCTAATGGAAGCAATTTCCAGAATGCCTGCCAATGTTATAAGGTATCAGGTTCAATTTCTCCACTAATTTACACCATAATTGGAACCTATTTCTCATTAATTTACAAACTATGTTTCAAACTAAGTTTCCATATCAAGCTGTACCTCTACTTCAACACACTTTATTGTCTACAACTTGCCCTTCAAATATCCTACACTTGAAGGGAAGATATGTATTAAAATTGCTTTTGTACGTTGTAAAAGCAATTCTGTTCTTATCAGCTGGAGTTAGATCCATTTTCAATCTTGTCCTAGTAATATAGGAGAAATCACACAGTAGTGGAGAAGATATATAGTCAATCAACCTACTAATGAGAAAGTTGCACTAAACTACCATTTGAGAAATTTCACAAAGTCCTGCAAAACGAATTCATAAAAATAAAGGACACTCAATATATGGCAACATATCACTCTGGCAGCCTGTTTGCAAATGAGAGTGTTTACTGGTATTCTCATTTTACTTACTACTATAGTTAGGGCTGAATGAAGAAAACATGGCCAACATATGAAATGAGTCATTTGTTTGGGCTTTGGGATATTATAGAATGAGCTAAAATATTCCAAGGAGAAACATCACGTTTGCAGCTAAATAAATTATTGCTCTCAGTGCCACTTACCCTGGCATCCACAAAAACAAAACAAAACAACTTGAAAGCTTCCTATTGTGATTAAAGATCTCTACTTCAATGACATTTTAAATATCTATTCTGTACTTTGACTCTAAAAACATGCAATTTGGCCAGGAATTATGCTAAGAAAAAGCTTAATCAATAAGGCAGGAAAGCCATTAAGATTTCACGCAGGAGTGATCCCCAACCTCTGGCTTGTAAGTCTAGGACCTTCAAACTATGCAAATACTTTCTTTTCAAACTATGCCTAACTCTTAATGTAACCATTTCACACATCCTAGAATGAAAACAAGGAAAATGTCGATGCCCAAGGCACTGCCAACACAGGTAAATATCTTGGAATGAGGAACTTGCACTCCAAATGTACACGCAGTACTCTTTTGCATTCTACACATTCTCACAAAACATTTACATCAGGAAAATCAAATTCTACTCTCTTCCATTCTGTTGCACCATCCTTCCTTAGACCCTAAAGGGAGGGGATGCCCATCCTCTAAAATCAAGATTTTTAAAATTGTGAGTAGCTAGTCTGCCTAATCAGTTCAAGCTCAGTAGCCAAAGCTTGATATTTCTAAGTTAGTTGTGTATCTAGCTGAACACCCTTTTTGTGGTTCTAGCCAATCCCCACAACAGGGGCTGGAAAACCATGATCCTCCATATGAAATCCCTCACTAGCAGCCAAGCTGACTGGGGCTGAAGCTAGTTTTTCCAACTGAACTCTGCAAGAAGGAATCATGGAGAAGACTATACTTTATCTATAATGATGATGATGATTATTATTATGATTATTTATTTATACCCCACTTTTCTCCCTCATAGGACCTAATCATACAAACAACAGACCGAATACATCAATAATAAATATGGCTTCTCTGTATTAGTACAATAAGGAAGTTTGGTCCTCCAAAACTTTCCTATACTGGCCAGCATACTTGAAATTGAGGCCTGAAGCATTTGGAGGGCCAGAGGTTTCTCATTTCTGAATTACTGATTTAGATGAGTTTGTGTTATATTTTATGACAGAAAAAAGGCCAGATATAATTGGGATCACTTAAACTATAAGGCATCAACACTGCTCACTGGCACATCCAGCTCAAATGGAACAAAGAAGATATACTGAAATAATTAAGCTGTTTATAGACTTGGTTGTTGTAGGTTTTTTGGGCTGTATGGCCATGCTCTAGAAGCATTCTCTCCTGACGTTTCGCCTGCATCTATGGTAGGCATCCTCACAACCTCTGAGGATGCTTGCCATAGATGTAGGCGAAATGCCAGGAGAGAATGCTTCTAGAACAGTGGTTCTCAACCTGGAGTCCCCAGATGTTTTTGGCCTATAACTCCCAGAAATCCTAGCCAGTTTACCAGCTGTTAGGATTTCTGGGAGTTGAAGGCCAAAAACATCTGGGGACCCCAGGTTGAGAACCACTGTTCTAGAACATGGCTATACAGCCTGAAAAATCTACAACAACCCAGTGATTCTGGCCATGAAAGCCTTCGACAATACATTGTTTATAGACTGTTTTAAGCAAAATGCTCTGGACTGAAGAACTGTATGATGCACAAAAGGGGGCATGGGTAACCATCTGACATTCTTAGGAAATCATGTCAACTTACCTATATTTTGTGCAAGTAGAGTTTTGACTTGAAGGGCCTTCGGGTTTAAGGGTGACTTGTGGTGAAACCTGAGCTGACACCAAAAATCCCAAAGCCAAAATAATAAGTGCCACAGTAGTGCCTACAAAACCAAAAACAAAGCATCAGAATACAGAATTTCAGCAATGCAGATGACTGTTTATTTCCTAGAAGAAGAAAAATTACAAGGTCCATTTAACAAAGTTAGAGTGACTTTGCCCACTGCATTAACAATTTCCAAAGGAGGCACATAACTCCTTAGTAAACACATCCAGGAAAAAATCTACATAGCAATTCACGGATGGGGAGGGAATGCATGGTTGCACCCAATGATGGCTAGTTACTTGTCCAGGATGTGGCGGATACTCCATTCATAGGGTATCTAAGGGCTGTAAATTCATGGATTGTCAACTGAAGGTATCCTGGGGTTTGGGGGTGATAAAAGGGAGCTTAGTGTTCTCAGGAATACTGACATTAAATCAAACTGGCAGCAGCCCTCCCTCCCATCCCTGAAGCATGCTTTAGCATGTTGAAGTGATACAAAGTCTATTACATTTAGTTTTAGATCCAGCCCCCCAGTGAGTTCTGATGACTCAAATCAGTCAAGTAACACTCCACCCAGAGCTTGGAATATGGTGCAAATTCAACACCGTACTTTACTTTATCCCTCCCTTGTTTGCTTGAACTCCCCTCCCCCTCTCTCTTTCATGTGCATTCAGATTGCAAGCTTGATTGACGGCAGAGACTGTCGTATTTATACTTGTTTCTAAGCTCCTTTAGGGTCCTTTCTGTCTGAAGAGCAGTTTATAAATATTTTACAATAAACTACCATACATACTCGAGTATAAACCAAGTTTTTCAACCATTTTAGGCTGAAAAAGGCCCTTCAGATTATACTCGAGTCAAGGTTATTTATTATTTTACTCTGTTGTTATTATTATTTTACTCTATTATTACTGTTGTTTTATATATATATATACTGTTGTTACTACATTTCCATTATTTTACTCTGTTATTGCTATTATTACAGTTATTATTTTACTCTATTATTATTGCATATACTAATTTACTCTATTATTACTGTTATCACATTTCCATTAATTTACTCTATTATTATTAAATTATTTTACTCTCTTTATTATTATTGGAAGGATACGTAAGCACATGTGCTAGAATAATGATTTAATCAGAGTGGACAGTCTTATATTAAATTAGTTTTATGTAAAGATTCAAAAACATTTAACCTACTGATGCCTCAATTCGTGTCATTTCACTGATATCTATTTTTATTTTGAAATTTACCGGTAAGTGTTGCATTTCCCGCCCTCGGCTTATACTCAAGCCGATTTATTTTTCCAGGGGTTTTTTTGTGATAAAATTAGGTGCCTCAGCTTATATTCGGGTCTGCTTATACTCGAGTATATACAGTATTTGGTAAAATATTATTTCTAAAATGTATAAGTATAATTACTATCATTTCACATCTTAAATGGTTTGCAAAACAAAGCAAACACATTGCCAGCAATCGAAGGAAAGCAATCAATGAAAGCAAGGCAGAAGCCCAAATAATTATATATGCCTATATCAAAAAGTGAACACATTACAGTATTTTCATTGTAGAAGCAAACAAGACTGGGGAATAAATTGACCAGCTATCTAAACTATTAATATGGTTGGGACCTGGTCACATGACTGAAACCCAGAATTGAGATCCAATATGTAGAGATTATTTGAATAGAAACCGTATTAGGAAGTTGATGTCTTCTTTTTCCATCTAATTCCAAAAATTGAAGAAAGCATTTTAATAAATTCTAGTTTAACATTCTAGTTTTATCTTATCCACCTCTATGCTTCACACCTGATCAAGCAACTGAACATACAGCTTCCACTTTAATACCCAAGGCTCTGCATCATACTGGCCTCGTTCATTAGGTTTAAGATGCCTTTTGTATTTTGCAAAAGGTAGTTTAACTCTTGTCAAATTTCCACATTTAAACGAATGTCCACAACTTTACCCGTCCATCTTAAGACAGCATGCTATAATGAAACTTTAGTCAAAACTGTCTCACCTACATACCTGCTAAACTTCCTAGTGTGAGTTTTCGGCGCCCCACTTTCTCAACAAGCCAGACCCCAACAAGAGTGAAAATGAAATTAGTGAATGCTGTAACTGCAGCAAGCCAAATTGCAAGTCGCTCGTTCTGTACACCAGACATCTGCATAATAGTAGCACTGTAGTACCTGTAAGAGTAATAAAATAAAATAAAGTAAGTATAGCCATTGATTTGATCATCACTAAGTATATACAAACACACACAAATAAATGATTTCATATATCGGTCTTCATTCCAAATAGCTCTGTATAGGGGCTCTGCCTCAGTTTTCAATGGGCATGAATCAACATACATTACTATCATACTATCCTTTGCCAGGCACTTTTATTGGAAAAACACTAGAATCCTGTCTGTTGGAAGATTTTGGAAGTTATTTTAACGACACTGTCTTTTCGCTCACAGATCTGTTGTTAGTGTGCAACATAGATAACATTTCAACAGTCTGTAACAATGAAGACTACCATTTCTTAGGTCTACAAGATTTAAGAAGAATTACTTTTCGAATGAGTATGAGATAAATCAAATAAGAAGTCTACATTCTTCCAGAAAATTGCAAAAACTATATTCATATACAATGTTTTTGGACTGAAAGGGGCTTATGACTAGTGAGGTCTGCCCTGTAATGCATCGCAGACATGTCAAAATAACTGTATTTGACAACTTAACAAGTGATTCCAGCTTTCTGAGAGTTGTGATTCTCATTCCAACAGGGAGCTACATCAAGTCTTTGCTTGATGTGTCAAATGCTCAAGAGAACCATTCAAAGTATGCTCAAGGGCAGAATAATTCCTCTTATCCTCAACTGATTGTAATACATTTCAGAAAATGCAAAAAAAAAGTTGCTGTTATACAAACATATTAAGTGCCAAACAATTTTCTAAATCATTTCAACAAATAGCAAAACATACACGTTAATGAAAAATTCTTTGCGTTTTGATGTAGTCATTAGAAAGAAATGTGCAAATTCCATTGTTTATTTCCAGTCCAAACTTGATTTTGATGACACAACATTTCATTACTACACAAATTTGTCACAATCTGGAGAAAAATTCAAAGGTGCTGATCTTTCGTTTAAGAATGTTTTAGACCTATTGAATAAACATTGTGTTAAAAACAAAGATAAGGTTATTGATATGCTGGATTGTGTCCAGTGGAGAGTGACCAAGATGATCAAAGGTATGGAGACCAAGCCTTATGAGAAACAACCGGGGGAGCTACATACACCTAGCTTTGAAGACTGAGAGGTGCCATGATAGGTATCAATAACTATCTGAAAGGGCATCATGTAGAACAGGGGTCCTCAAACTAAGGCCCGGGGACCAGATGCGGCCCTCCAAGGTCATTTACCCGGCACTTGCTCAGGGTCAATCTAAGTCTGAAACGACTTGAACGCACACAACACCAACAACAATCCTAGCTCATCAGGCAAAAGTAGGCCCACACTTCCCACTGAAATACTAATAAGTTTATATGTGTTTAAATTGTTCTTCATTTTAATTATTGTATTGTTTTTAAGTGTATGTTAAACGAAAGATCAGCACCTTTGAATTTTTCTACAAATAAGATATGTGCACTTTGCATAGGAATTCATTCATGCTTTTTTTCAAATTATAATCTGGTCCTCCAACAGTTTGAGGGACTGTGACCTGGCCCTCTGTTTAAAGAGAATATGATTTAACTTCCCAGTGACATGCAACCCATATCAAAATATTTTGTACTACAGCAGAGAAAACATAAAATACACTCGGTCCTCTGTATCCATGGATTCTGATTCTTCGGATTTCACCATCCACAGCTTGTTTTTTTTTAATCCCAAAAGCAAACCTTAATTTTCTCATTCTATATAAGGGGCACTACTGTATGATTCCATTTTATATAGGATTTGAGTATCCTGAAATCAAACTTAGGAGGATACTAGTGGTCTACTGTATATTGTTGGTTAGAAAAGCCAACCACTCTTACTGTACTTGAAGGAAATAGAAATGTTTTGGGTTAACTGCACAGCACGTAATAAGTTTTCCCCGCTAATAGAACACTCTAGTGCCTTTGGTCTTGATTCAAACACACCACGTATAGGAGCCCTTAGCTGTCACTACCCACAAAGACTTGGGTAATAATGACCCTGTTTTGCCTCCTCACTATAAAAAAGAGGCTTCAATATTTGACAAACTAAAATGAAGAATCCCTGAGTCTGTGATCATTTTCCTCCCCTCTTGCGACCACAACAAGAAGTAAAACAGAGCATTTGCTTCTGATGTAACCATGGTTACTCATTATGTCCAAAACCAAAATATAGTACATCTTAATTATGGTCTCTAATAGTCTTTCCTACTATCAGCTCCTAGATCTTTTGGTCCATTACTGTTCTTCAACTGGAGAGCCAAGGCTGGGGAAACTAGCCCAGGAGAACAAGCCAGACTGCAGCCTATAGTATACAATGAACTGGTGTATTGAAACAAAACATAATAAGCCTCACTGTATATAGGTAAAACATACTGAAAATTTAAGTAAAAGCTCCTAGTCTCTTCCTTGTGGTGGAGCTGCTGGGCATGATTAAAACATGTAATGTTAAATCACAAGAAGCCTTGAGCATTTTGTTGTTGTTGGCTAAAGGTGGAAAATTAAATTAACTGAATAAATAATAAATAATGTGTGAACGAGACCTTTATTGGTATCCAACAAAGCATAATCTTTGCTCTGATTAAGTTTCTTCATAAATGTACCAAGCTGTTAATTGCCCCGTCAGCAAGGGATACTGGAAAGTTTTTCTTGACATTACCCTCCTCTAATATTGAAAGAGAAAAAGAGATTTCAACTGAGAAGCCCGTAACGTGAGAGTAAAGTGAATACTTATACAATGGAGTTGCTACCATCAACCGAGATCACCAGAGGGAGCTCTGGAGACAACATATTTTCCACCAGAAGGTCACTTTACCCCTCAAGCCTTTAAGAAAAAACTTAGAGAAGAACCAGCAGGAAAAAATAGACTGAAGTTAAATATTGTAATATAATGTGGTCACGGCACAGCACTGGAGCTATAGAAGCCCAGACTATGATGAACAGGTAATTAAAGGGCTGAAGGGTGAATTTTAAAAGAGGTTTCCAAGAGCCAAAGGTGAATTTCTTTCACCTATCTGCATTAAAGCAACTACCATGTTCATTTCCCTCTTCTTAATGTTCAAAATAACTTCTCAGAGACTCCATGTGTTTCAAAAGAGAAGATAAAATGGGCACAGAACCACACAGATATCTGAAAGATGAACAAAACTGAATACACATGTATTCAGTGGAATTCAGAGGAACACAATGAATAAAGGATTAGCAGATTAGTCATATCCTTAGAGCTGGCTCTCTGAGCAGTTGCCACCCACTACACACAATCACAACAGCAACACAATCGCTTTTGATAAATTCAATCTGCATCCCTCGCAAACACTATGCAACTATAAATAAAAGGAGGGAGGTAAAGCTATCATAAAGCTACATTCCCACATTCTCTATGAAGGACAGGCAAACATTGAGGGCTTTGGACAATCAGAGATCTAGGATTAAAAGGATAGACATGAGCTATAGAGGCTACAATCAAGAAAAATGATTGATTAAAATCAGTCCTGTAGCAATTTTATAGGGAGCCCCAGTGGCTCAGTGAGTTAAACCGCTGAGCTGCTGAACTTGCTGACTGAAAGGTTGCAGGTTCAAATCCGGGGAGTGGCGTGAGTTCCCTCTGTTAGCCCCAGCTTCTGTCAATCTAGCAGTTCGAAAACATGCAAATGTGAGTAGATCAATAGGTATGGCTCCAGCGGGAAGGTAACAGTGCTCCATGCAGTCATGCCGGCCACGGACAACATTGGCTCTTCAGCTTAGAAATGGAGATGAGTACTAACCCCCAGACTCGGACATCACTGGACTTAATGTCAGGGGAAAACCTTTACCTTTATTAGCAATTTCATAGAGCTTTTTGAAACTCATGGATGTCACTTTATATTTTTTCACTATTCAAATATAACCATGTTATATGAACTATCTATATAGAAAGGCGGTATACAAATGCGGTAAATAAATAAATAAATAAATGTTCGTTTGTGGGTTTTTTGGGGTGGTGGTTATGAGTGATGGTCACTCGTTAGTCTGTTAGGGGTATAGTGTCCAAATTTGGTCTCAATTCGTTCAGTGGTTTTTGAAAAACCACTGAACGAATTGACACCAAATTTGGACACTATACCCCTAACAGACCAATGAGTGACCATCACTCATAACCACCACCCCCAAAAAAACACCGGAAAGGACTTAAAAAACCAAAAAAGCTAAATGATGAAAAGCAAAATGATGACACATGAAAAAAAGGGAGGAAGAAGGAAGGAGGGGGGGGGGGGAGAGAGAGAGAAAGAAAGAGAGAAAGAAAGAGAGAGAGAAAGAAAGAAGCATGGAAGCTAAAAGGGAAGGAAGGAAGGAGATAGAGAAGGAAGAAAGGAGAGAAAGTGGAAGGAAAGAAAAAGAGGGGAAGGAAGGAAAGTGGGAGTGAAGGAAGGAGGAAAAGAAGGGAAGAAAGAGCTAGGGAAGAAAAGGAAGGATGGAAGCAAAAAGCAAAGGAAGGAAGGAAAGAAGAGAAGGAAGGATGGAAGCAAAAAACAAAGGAAGGAAAGAAAGAGGTAGAGAAGGAAGAAAGGAGAGAAAGAGGGAGGGCAGGAAAGAGAGAAGGAAGGATGGAAGCAAAAAGCAAAGGAAGGAAAGAGGAGAAGAAAGGAAGGCAAGAAGAAAAGGGAAGGTAGGAAGGAAAGAGGAAGCGAAGGAAGGAGGGAAAGGAGAGAAAGAGGAAGGAAAGGTTGGCCACAGCAACAGCTAGTGTATGTCTAAAATTTTCTAAGAGAAATTTAGTACCTCCCAAAGGTTGCTGGCCTGAAATCAGCAGAAACAGAATTAGGAATTTCTTTTTATGCTTTACGGCACTGGGATTTCCTTATTTTAATGTTGTGGTTTTGCACCCTACTAGCCTTCTTTAACCTGAATCATGCCTGCCAGAGTCCTGACTACTATCCATGCAGACTAGGGTTGATTCAGTTTGAGGTTCACAACAATTGGGAAGCACTATATTGGCCCATGACAGCTGAATAGGATCAAGGAAGATTC